CAGTTTCAGAGGTGTGTTGTTAGGATCTCTGTCGTCAGATCTTGTTCTTGTCAATGAAGATATAACTTTGTGCAATTTTGTGTTGCAGGGCTCATCAATCAAGCAAGCAAACATGAAAAATGGATTAAGGCTGATGCCCCAAAAGGCACTATAAATTTTAGAAGTCAGAGCTGGTTTCAGTCCCTGAAACTGCAGGACTAAGGATGGTTTGAGTTGTATTTATAACTTTTAACAATGATTAGCAGATCTAAGACTACAGAAATGCAAATACCACAGTTCATATAAATGTTGAAAACAACAGTTTAGAATGAATACTAGTGAATTGTCTTGTGGGGTCCTTTTCAAACTTTGTACTTAGTTTGAACAATAACTTACACTTATTGTGTTCATTTTTTGTTGCCTTGTAATAAATTACCATAAACTTAACCAACTTAAAATAACACTTACTAGCTCACAGTTCTGTAGGTCAAGAGCCCAGCATGACTAGTCTCTCTGCTCAAGGTAGACAAGGCTGGACTCAAGTTCTCATCTAGATGCTCTGGGGGAAAAAAAATCTACTTTCAAGCTTATTCATATTGTTGGCAAAATCCAGTTCCTTGTGACTACTACTGAGGTCTGTCTTTTCTTGCTCTCTGACGGCAATCACTCTGAGCTTCTAGAGGCCACTGGCATTCCTTCTCATGTGGTCCTCTCCATCTTAAAGCCAGCACTTGCTTCTCATGCACTGAATATCTCACCTCTTCCGCAACCAGTTGGAGAAATTGCTTTCAAAGGATTTGACTGATTAGATCAGGCCTTCCCAGAAAAATCTTTGTTTTGCTATGTGATATATCATAATCATGAGAGTGCTAGCTCATCATATTTACAATTTCCATTTACATTCAAGAAGAGAAGATACTTTAGCTCTCTTGTAATAACGTGTTTGCTATTTAGTATTTCTTATGACATCAATGTAAATGTAAGCTGTAAATAAAACACACCATAAAAATGATGTATTTGCTACTGAGTCTTAATTCTTTTTGAATAAGATACAGTGCATTTGGAAGAGGAGAAACATTCAAGTATTTTATAGCCTGCTGTATGAAGATTGATTTTCACTTTCACACTCATGTACTGTATAAAGTTATTTTATTAATCCTCTTTCTTTCAAACCTTACCTGTCTACTCCCGGGACGTTTAATTTACATAAGAATAAATAGACCTATTGTAAGGACACAAGTCTAAACTTCTAAACCAAACTGATTCCATGACAGGCTTTAAGTTTCCCCTCTAAACTAGAAGGCCTAAGTTCCAGCTTCCCTGAAACTATCAGGCAGTTACACGTTGCCCAAGGCAGGAGAAACTACCCTTGCAACACCCAATCAGGAAAGGCCAGCGACCACCCTCCACATTACTAAGGGAGAGGCCTATAGATAGAAACTATAGATAGGACCCTGTTACCTAATGTTAAAGTTAACCCTTTAGTCGCCGAATAAGACCCTAGGCTCGCTCTGTGATTGGTTAAATTTAAAGGTACTCTAAACATTGTAATTGGATCCCGCCAAAAGTAACGAATACTCTAGACAATGTGTATGGTCAAACCCGCTGTCAATGATATTGTATAATTATGATTGGATCACTGTTCCCATGTCACAACTTCTGTAACTCCCCCGTCACAAACCCCATAAAAACCCTACTCTGCCCTTGTTCGGGGCTCTCAGCACGGATGCACTGTGTTGGTGAGGTCTGGGAGCCTGAGCTGGAGCCTGAGCTTAAGCCCGAATAAACGCCCTTTGCTTTTGCATACGTGACTCAAGACTCCTTGGTGGTCTTGGGATTTTGGGGAGATCGCGATCTGGGCATAACACTGTTTTTAGATTATGTTTTCTATGATTAGGATAAATCAGCTCCTGCACAATGGTTTATAATAAACTTTATTTTTTAAGTTTGTTTATTTATTTTGAGAGAGCACAAGCAGGGGAGGGGCAAAAAGAAAGGGGGACAAAGGATCCGAAGCGCCACGCTGACAGTAGTGAGCCCAGTGTGGGGCTCGAACTCAGGAACTGCGAGATCATGACTTGAGCTGAAGTCAGATGCTTAAATGACTGAGCCACTCAGATGCCCCTGTAATAATCTTTTCAAATATTATGATTTATAATAGTCTCTTAATTTATTTAGAGTTCTATTTTTAACTTCATATTTATGAAACAAAAAGTCAACTTTGTGGAATATCTCAGAGTCTCCTTTTAGTTCAATTTTCATGAAATCAAAATTTATAGAAATTGGGACAGTACTCATGTTAGTATGTTTGATGGAGTGTGGGTTTGTGTGTGTGTTATTAAATAGAGAAAACTGAGGCCATGAGGCACTTTTTATAATCTTTTTTCACTATCATGCAATTATATAAATATTTTCATGATGAAAAATAAAGTTTATGAAATTAGTCAACGACAGCCAGGAAGGTCATGAGCATCACAAGCAGTAAACTGTATTTAAAATTCTTAAAGTAATTGTGCATATTTGAATCACATAGTTAAGTTCAAATAGAAAGGAAAAGCTGTCATATTTTGCTCTCTTGAGCATTAACCCATGTATAACTGCATGCAAAAGAATGAAACTGGACCACTTTCTTACACCATACACAAAAATAAATTCAAAATGGATCAAGGGCCTAACTGTGAGACCTGAAACCATAAAAATCCTAGAAGACAGCACAGGCAGTAATTTCTTTGATAATAGCAATAACAATATCTTTCTAGATATATCTCCTGAGGCAACGGAAACAAAAGCAAAAATAAACTATTAGGACTACATCAAAATAAAAAGCACCACACAACAAGGAAAAATAACCGATGAAACTAAAAGTCAACCTCTAAATGGAAGATGTTTGTAAATGACATATCCAATAAAGGCTTAGTAATCCAAAATACATGAAGAACACAACACCAAAAAATCACAAATAATTTAATTAAAAAATGGACAGAAGACATGAACAGACTCTTCTCCAAATAGGACATCTAGATGGCCAACAGACACATGAAAAGATGCTCTACATCACTCATTACCAGGGAAAAGCAAATCAAAACCACAATGAGATATATCACCTTGTACCTGCCAGAATGGCTAGCATCAAAAACAAACTACAAGCAGAAAAAAAGGAATTCACTTGCACTATTAGAGGTAACTCTCTTACAAACTGGTACAGGCACTGGAAAACCGTGCAGAGATTCCTCAAAAAATTAAAAATAGAACTATCCTATGATCCAGTAATCATACTACTGGGTATCTACCCAAAGAATATGAAAATGCTAATTCTAAGGGATAACATCCCTATGTTTATTGTAGCATTATTTATAATAGCCAAATTATGGAAGCAACTCAAATGTCCATTGATAGATGGGTGGATAAAGATGTGGTAGGGGCACCTGGGTGGCTCAGTTAAGCATCCAACTTTGGCTCAGGTCACGATCTTGCAGTTCATGAGTTTGAACCCTGCGTCAGGCTCTGTGCTGACAGCTTGGAGCCTGGAGACTGCTTCAGATCCTGGCTCCCTTTCTCTCTGCTGTTTCCCAGCTCACACTATATCTCTCTCTCAAAAATAAATATTAAAAAATTTTAAAAGGTGTGGTAGATATGTACCATGGAATATTATTCAGCTATAAAAAGAATGAAATCTTGCCATTTGCAACAACATATATGGATCTGGAGAACACAATGCTAAATGAAATAAGTCAGAGAAAGCCAACGTGATTTCACTCATATATGGAATTTAAGAAACAAAGTAAATGAACAAAGGAAAAAAGAGATGAACATAAAAACAGACTCTTAACTATAGAGAACAAACTGATGGTTACCAGAGAGAGGGGAAGTGGTTTTCGGGGGGGGGGTGTTGGTGAAATAGGTGAAGGGAATTAAGAGTATGCTTGTCGTGATGAGGACTGACTAATATAAGAAATTGCTGAATCACTATATTCTATACTCAAAACCAATATAACACTACATTAGCTACACTGAGGGGGGATACGGTAAGTAATTGAGGAAATAGGTTAAAAGACTAATGCAATATTACCAGCACAGCTTGCTCATGGCAGTCAGAACAGAGTTGTACTTACTCCTGGACTCGATTAATAGGAGTGTCACATAATATCAAATAATGATATTACCACCATGTGGTCACTTGAATTCTGTAGTTTTATCTTTTACCAGAGTGGTAAAAATCCATAGAGGAAAGCTTATTAACAATAATGAGTGGGCACATGGGTGGCTCAGTTGGTTGGTCAACCGATTCTTGATTTCAGCTCAGGTCAGGATCTTACAGTTGTGAGATGGAGCCGTGTTGGGCTTCTCACTGAGCATGGAACCTACTTAAGATTCTCTACTTCCCTCTCCCTCAGCCCCTTCCCCATTTGTGGGCATGCACTCTCTCTCCTCTCTCAAAAATTAAAAATTAGTAATGAGGAGGTACACAATTAGTAACCCATATCTCCTAGCATAAAATAGGGAGAACATCTTTTTTGACATAGCATAGTTTTCAAATTCCTCTGTACTGCAGATGTGTTTAAAAAGAGATGTCTTTGAAACATTGCAGAGACATCCTTTGTAGTCACAAATAGTTCATGTTTCTATTTGATTTGTCCCGGACTGTTAAGTCAAATATTGAGATGAGTCCAGGGTCAAGTGGCATTTAGTTTTTATTGTTAAATGTCTACAAATAACAAGAAAGCTCTGTTTCCTTTAAGAATGCATGTCTCTATTTTTCATATCATCACAGATCCTTAAAGCCATTGCCCTGACTCAAATTCCTACTCTGACTCATTTAGCTATCTCTGCTTTCTTTTGTAAAGCAAAGCTTTTAAATTGTTGTCAAAACATCACATCTTTCAGGCTTGTTTTATATGACTGTAACCTTAGGTTTGATAATCTCATCAAAACTATTGGTTTGATTAAGGTAAATTTAAGTGGAAAACTTACAGTGTAGCAACACCCCATTTGGCTTTTTAAAAAAATCATGATTCAACTAATTAGAAGAACTAATAATGTATTTAGAAATATTTGTAGTTGGAATAAGAATCAGGAAATGATTTGCCAGTTGTTGACACTGTCGAGATCCAGCTAGTAAAAGTACTTGCATTAAGTGAAGTTACCAAGTTCTAGATTTTTTTGTTCTTGCTTGAGGCTCAAGTTCTACTTCCTCTTCACTACTGTATGCTGACTCTGTCACTGTCCATTCTACATTTTTAAGTGGTGTTATCTCATGTTGTTCTGTAAGGGGGTTGCCTTCATAATCATAGCCAAACCAAAGCGGAGGGTCATTGGGGTTATATTCCTGCTGCTGAACTTTAGATGACATCGTCTTCGCTGCCTCCCTGCAATAACAGTGATTAGCATTAGTCAGTTGCAGAAGTAATTACTAGTGCAGAATTTTCCAACTAGAGCAAATTTGGAGTTAAAAGAACTGTCACAAGTTGAATGAATTTCACAGCTCTCTCTGATAGGGAGGGTATGGGTAATTATGTGAATATTCAGGATCCCAAAGCTTAAGTAGCTCAGAGCTCTCTGGATCAGCAAATTCAGAGATTAACAGACAACAGTGAGTGGGTAAGAAAACTGCATGGTCATGGAGTAGGAACACTGTGGGCACTCTCTAGTGTTCTCCAGTGAGTCCTCTGCCTCTTATTTCCAGTTTCTTTGATGAGGGAGTACCCTAACCAGCCAACCTGTGAAGGTGCACATGGAGGAGCTCATAACCCAGAGTCCCCAGATCTCTGTTGGATATGTGGATGAACTTCAGAGAGATCCATGAAAATTCCCTGAAAATTCATGCAGTTTTGTGTCTAATATACATTTTCCTGAATAGAGGGTTTGTGACTCCTCAAACTCTCAAAAGGTATCAGTGACCAAAATGATTACAAACACCATTACTGCCTCTCTTAGGAAGAAGTAAGGAAGAAAGCGAAGAAGGCATCTAAAGGTTGTTCTGAACCCCAGTTTTAAAGTGGGTGAGTGGGGGTTTCCACCACCAAACCAATCTTAGATAGCGGCTGGGTGTCCTGTAATTCAACCCAATTCTGACACTGTCTACCCAGAGGCAGCATCAGGTTCCACAGGTTACAGGCTCAGTCTCACTAGACTGCCCTCCACTTTAGATCCCATTTGTAAGTCCAGGTTGTCATCTGGGCTTCTGACTGACCAGCTATAGATAGGAAGTTCCAATGCACCCCTTTCTTGGATTGGATTAATTTGCTAAAGTAGCCCACAGAACTCAGAGAAACATTTTGGTTACTGGATCACTGGTTTATTATAAAAGGTTATAACTCCAGAATACCTAGATGGAAGAGATATATAAGACATGGTGTGGAGAAGGGGTGAGAAACTTCCACGCGCTCTCCAATTGCACACTCCCCAAATCTACACACATTCACTGACCCAGAAACTCTCCAAACCCTTTTAAGATTTTATGGAGACTTTATTATGTAGGCATGCTTGATGGAATCACTGGCCATTGATGGCTGATTTAATCTCCATCCTCCACCTTCCCAAGAAATCAGGGGAAGGGTCTGAAATTTCCACCTCTGTGTTCATTGTTGGTTCCCCTAGCAATCATCTTCTACCCTAAGATGCTTTCCAAAAGTCACCTCATTAACACACACTGAGTTGTGTTGGAAAGGAGTTTGTTATCAATAACATGACACCTATTTTCATCTTTATGTCTCTGAACTAATTTCAGGAACTGAGGATGAGACCAAATATCATGACAAAAGATGTTCCCATTGCCCTTATTGCCCAGGAAATTCCAAGGGCTTTGGGAGCTGGGAGTCAGGAACTGTGAAGGAAGACCAAATATATATTCGTATCTAAATAACCAAAATATGTTTCTCATAAATCATAATATTATAGTATCAGGGGGCAAACGTGTATCTAACTTGAATACAATGGCTTTTCAAAGGTAGAACAATGCTATTTTTCTAGGAAGGTGGTTTGAATCTTGAGACCAGTACTTAGAAAAAAACAAGAGTAATTGGCAACTTCTACAGGATCAGAAATGAGTAATGATAGTTGCCCATGAAAGGGATACTTTGCCTACTATTGCTATATATTACATTAAGTTATTACCTGCAAAAATCTGGAAACAGTCATTGATAAAGAAGCTGGTATTACCATATGCTTTGAGTTAAATCTGTGCTCAATGGCTATAGGAGGTCAGGCAGAACAATGAAATTGGTAAAAGGGCTGAGATACATCAGTTGTTTAAAATGCTGTTTCATTTGAACCAAATTTTAGATGTCTTAAAATAATTATATAGCCAAACTCAACAGGGAGACAACCAAACCATTGTTAATTCCATCTCTTGCCACATTACTTTTTGGTTTATATATTTGTACTCACATAAAACAAAAATAAAAAAATAAAAATAAACTAAAACAAAGCCAACCACACAACTTTAGAACAATGTGAGTATAAGCAAGTTATGCTAATTTCTGCTCTGAGCGACCAATCCTATAAACTAAAACTTGGCAAACAAATGCCTTCTGTTTAGAAAAAGATTTATTCTCAAATTTGAAAACGATAACTTTCTGGTCAAAGATGAAGCTTTGCATTCTGTTGATCTTTTCATTTTTTAAAAATGTGGTCCTACATTTGAAACTTCTTATATAATCTTTATATAAGTAGGACTTCATTATGCAGTAATAATAGTGTTCTATCTTTAGCTGTCCCCACTTTCTTCTGAAGATTATTCTCCCTTTCCAATTCTGTGGAGTTGAGATTGACATGTCTGTGAAGGTGTTTTCTGTGAGATTATTTTCCCTTGAGTACTTACTGCAGCATAATCCCAAATGTTGAGGGAATCTGAAGCACAAAATATTGGCACCATCAGTTTCAAATGTAAAGCACTACTCTTGGCGACAAAGCTTCATTGTTACTTACCCTTCACCCTATCTCTGCCTATTTAAACTTGATCCATCTTTCAAATCTTCAAACCAATCCAACCTCTTATAAAGACCCAAACCCAATCTCTTCTTCCCCTGAACTTCTATTAAAAGTTGATCATAAACGGGAAAATGGGTGATGGGCATTGAGGAGGGCACTTGTTGGGATGAGCACTGGGTGTTTTATGTAAGCCAATTTGACAATAAAATATATTAAAATATAGAAATTTGATTATAGAATTAATTTCTTTCCAATACATAAATTCATGGCATTGTGTATAATCTTGAACTTTATTAATTTCCTTTTGTTTAATAAGGCAGTAAATTGTTTAAGGGTTTTACTCCATTTCTTTGTATCTTAAGCGACAGCCAAAAGAAGACATTTTCAGCAGTTATACCAACAGAGAACGCTTTAGGTCTCTAATCTTCTGCAGCTTTGTTTGAGGCATTCATAGGTTGCTATTTCCAATACCCACTTGCCCTGTGCCTCCCAAACAGCATTGTTCTGGACACACATACTGTAGTTCACAGTTGTTGGTAATGATTCAATGCCACTGATGTTAAGACTACTATCAGCAACAATAGTCTTGACCTTTAGGAAAAGGACGAGTTTCGGGAATAAACAACTCGTAAGTAATTGACCAAAGTATATGTAACCTTTGACCTCAGAAGAGCAATAATGTCTGAGAGTTCTAGGTAACTGGTGAGAGGATAAGGACTCTTAATGCTAAATTTGGTAACATATAAATATTGGGTCATACAGTTCCTCAGTCAGCTGCAAGCCAGGGTAAGTTAGACGATAATTAGGGCAAATAATGGGAGTTTGAGAAAATAACAAGAAAGCTCGGGATACTAAATTCTCAGTATAGACAAGAAAAGTAGGGAATCCATAGGGAAAAGTAGTCATTAAATTCAGTGTGATGGGATAAGATGAAAATGAGCTGCATATTGAGCACTAGCTATGGGGGAAGTACCCAGTGGTACTTTAAGCCGTTACCTGTAAGCAGAGCAAAGAGCAATTTTACTTAAGATAAAAAGTCAGCTTATTCGGGAATAGCAGAGGAACTGCAATTTGTGACAAGCACAAAACCATAGCCACGTACAAAAAGACAAAGGGAAGGTCAGGCTCCCAGGGACCCTGGGAGTTCCTTGGCTAAAAACCGGATCCCTGTCCTAGAAGTTGGGAGTCAAGACAAGTACTCTTGGAGCCTTACTAGTCCAAATGCTGGGACTCTCCAAGCCACTCTGCTGGGGGGACCGCCTTTCTTTATTGCTAGACAAAGATAGTATCAGAAGATTCTAGGCCTCTTTCCTGCTGAAGCTCGGCAGGGGCGGGGCTCTGAGGGAGACCGAGGTAGTTTGGCCTTTTTAGACACTGAGATGGAGACAAGCTAGTTCCCTTCTAAGCATTAGGACCATCTCTCTGCTTATTGCTGGTAGGGACAGCCAGACTTGGTGGTAGGAGACAAAAGGTGCCTTTGGTGTCCTAGCTTAGGTAAAGGAATTTTTCAGAGATCCAACTAGTTAACTAGAGTTTCACACTGAGTTTTCGTGGTCAAGCCTCGCTACTAGTAAAATCTTACTTTGCCTTGTTTTGTTTGCTTCACATATTTTTTTTACCTAGTCGCCTTGCAAGAGGAGAGTGAGCAGTCAGAGGCAAGATTAGGATATTACTATATATCTTGGGTCTCCTTAACCAAACACCATTATTTATCACACTTTAACATCCATACCATAATTAGGTTCAGAGAGACCTGTGCCAGAAAGTCTCCGTTCATTCTTAAAATAAAATCCAACTTATTAGAAGTTCAGTGTTATTATCTCCCCAAAATAGTGATTATCAAAATACAATCAAAAGATTAGAAGCCAAACTCCTTTGTGTAACATGCTATTCATTCATTGCCATCTTACTCAAAGTTCACTGTTTAATGATATGACCAGGCTGGCAGGGACTCCTAGGACCTTATTTCATTCTATCTTTTTTCAGTGAAGTTAATCACACCCATATCAGTCATCTCCAGACCTATTAGGGAGGGTTGGGTCTCCACTCCTCTTCAAAACTTTTCAAAGACCTGCTTCTTTGTTTCTGACCCAGCTTCATTTAGCTGCTGTCCCCACCCAGTGGGGGGGTGTCTTTTACAAGTAATAAGTTTTGTGTGCTCTTTTTTTTTTTTTTTTTCAATTTAAATTTAACATATAAAGCCTTGGATCAGGAACCGTTTTCTTCCTCAGGCTTCAAGTGACCAGATCTCATGGTTCAGCTCATTCCAGTGCTATTTAACTAAGAAAGTTCCTCTGTGAAATATATATTAGGTAACTGATAACATTAATTCTTAGTATTCAGAATTAGCCTGCAGTATTAGCCTGCAGAAAAGAGCCTGACACTTCAGGATTGGTCAAGAATTCTCATTTTGAATGGTTCAAATGAAACTTTGTAACTCTGAGAGCCATCATGTATGACAAATGCCATAGTCATGTATTCTGTTTTCTCAGAAAGTAATTCTCAAAGCTTTTCATGTTCAGGTTCACACTTACATGGAAATAAGTCTGCAGTATTGCATCTTAAGGATCCGGAGTTGTTTGCAGCCTATCTGCAGGTCCTCAAGGCTTTGGTCAGTAAGCAGGACACAACCAGAAATATCCAAAATATGCAAGTAATGGCATTTTGCTGATAACATCTCCATCGCTGAGTCAGTAATCTGAACACACAGCCAAAGTTAAGCACTGATTATTCTGATGAACTCCATCCCAGGGAAGAACAGTGGGCTGCTGTAACAAAATACCACAGCCTGGGTAATTTAAACAACAGACATTTGTTTCTCACAGTTACGGAGTCTGAGCAGTCTAAGATGAGTTGGCCCACAGACTGAGTGTCTGGTGAGGATCTTCTTACTGGTTTGCATATGGTTACTTTCTTGCTGTATCTTCACAGGAGGGAGAGACAGTTCTAGTTCTTCCCATTCTTATAAGCACAGTAATTGCATCATGGTGGCTCCACACTCATGACCTCAGTCTAAGCCTAATTAGCTCCCCAAAGCCTTGCCTCTTAATACTGTCACATTGAAAACTAGGGTTTCAACATATGAATGTGGGGGGGGGGGGTGGGGATTCAGTCCATAACAAACAGAATCGAAATTCTTCCCAGCATGTCACATGATGGGCCTATAATGCACGTTAGTGATTTAACTATTTCCAGAACAGTAAAATTATGTTTTACTTTGTGATCTTGCTGTTATTTTCATTTTAGAGCTCTCTATTTTGAATGAGTAACTTCATTAAAGTTTCCTTAGTAATACCCGTCACACCAATAAGGCATCATCAATTTAGAAAAATAAGTTTAACAACATAACATGTTACAAAACTATAAAATATATATATTCCCTGAAGTTAACCCACATACAAGGTCAAATTGCCATGAGAAGGGATCTGGACATCTCTGATGGTTTGTGTGTAGATAGAGTAAAATGGTTCTGGAAGGGGACAAGTAGGTGAGACAAGTTTGTAGGCCGGGGAAGAAAGAGCAGAAGCCACAGACACTACATGAATCTTACTCTGAGAAATTCTCCTGAGGGTTCCAATATCTTGAGAATTTGCCCAGATGTGCTACAGAGATAATTCAACTCTACTTCTTAGATTATTTTACTTACTCAGGGTCTAGCTTTGAATTCACAGCTATACTGAGGCTTGCTGTAAAATCAGTGAGATTACTTTCCTCAAAGGAATTTTTTCCCAACTGGATTTAATTTCTCATTTTAAATCTTTGAACATTATAAAAACATGCCATGAAGCTTGGCTCTTATTCTTAATATAAAGTTGAGGAAAGTATGTAGAAGCCTCTTCAGTTTGAAATGTACACTTTCCAAGTTTGGAAAAATAGATGTTGTCATTGTCTAAGCACACCCTGTTTTCACAACATACCCAGGACTGAGATTTAACATTGTGCCTGATTCTCACAAAAATGCTTCCATACATTCTTGCCATACTATCTTGGTCTCTGAGGATCTGATGTCATTGGAGGTTGGTGGGGGGGAAGCCCTCAGAATTGTAGGCAAGACAATGAAGTGATAGAAAAGTCCAGGACAGGTAGAGCCCAGAGCGCTACATTTTACTGGCTCTGAAGGAGTGAAAAAGGAGCCTGACATTTACTGTAAATCAGAAGCTCAAGATGTTTAATGACTGAATAGATGTTGTTGGGACTTACGAGGCTGGGAACTAGAGGTGGAGGTGATTGGCTAAATTCTCAGCTCCCAGTCCTGATCTCAGTCCTACTGAGTGGAGATTCTGTTATTCCCATTTTAGTGCTGGGAAGAGTGGGGTCACAGTACTACTTACTGACCTTGGAGGTTCACTGATTGCAAGGAAGAGCTGGCCTTTCAGGAGATGGATAAGGTGACCATGCAAGATTAACCCATGGGCTTTTGAGAAGCCTAGCCTAGGATGATGAGCCAGGTACTAACGTGTTTTACAGCTCATCAAAAGCAATGTAGGTGGAAATATAACACTGTATGTCAACTATTCTGGAATTTAAAAATTAATTAAAAAAAAAACAATGTAGGTGGAATATATTGGACTAGACCATCGCCTTATGATTTCTCAATGAGGAGTATTCTGATTGACCCAATTTATGGTCCCACATCTTCTGAATGAGGATACTTATTTTGACCCACAGAGATAATAAAGCTAAACCCTTCTCTCTTACATTGAGGTTCTGGAATAATTTACTCCCCTTCCTTTTTGTCACCCTAGATCTTTGATATAGAGTGATTTGTTTTATAATCTTATTTGTGTAAATCCTCCTAGTTTCTAGGCTGCAGGACAGTATCCACTGCACAGTTTATAGAAGGAATTCCCTCAGCATCTCCTTACCAAAAAGCAAAAAAACAAACAAAAAAATACAAAAAAAAACAACAACAAAAAACCCCAAAAATCAAACAAACAAAAACTCTTCTACCCAACTACTGTTCTCACCAGAGTCTTTATTTCTCCCGTTCTTCTACTCTTCCCCCTAGTTAATAGAGCCAATAAAAAGCCCAGCCCCCATCTGCATCTGCTTTATGGCCAGGGCAGTTCCCAGTGAGCCATGTGTCACCCATGTGTCCACGCGTCTGTGTGCAATGAAAACAAGAACTCTGCAGAGGATCCGTGGTCAGTGCGGCTAAGTATGCTTAGTTCCTTGACCCACTTCTAGAACCAGATGATGCTGACCAACAAGGCATTTGGTTTCTCAGGTTCTAAACAAGTACATTATTAAACAAGAATTTTGTTGTGAACTTTCTAGATTAAATTTGTCATGATTTCTCACATCTTTCCCCCCACTGCCTCCTCCTCTTTACTACAGCACAGTTAACTACAAAGGAATTAGGAATTTATACCATCCTTCTGCTAATCCACTAACCACATAGAAGCTGAATTTTTAGATGAGGTAGAATGCAGGACATCTTAACATATCAGGTGATGCTTTATTAAAAACAAGACCATCTGGGGGCGCCTGGGTGGCTTAGTCGGTTAAGCGTCCGACTTTCGCTTAGGTCATGATCTCGCGGTTCGTGGGTTCAAGCCTCGTGGGTTCAAGCCCCGCGTCGGGCTCTGTGCTGACTGCCAGCTCAGAGCCTGGAGCCTGTTTCAGTCTGTGACTCCCTCTCTCTCTGACCCTCCCCTGCTCACGCTGTCTCTCTCTTTCTCTCTCCTAGAAATAAATAAAAAAAAAATTAAAAAAAAATAAAAACAAGCCCATCTGTGCGCACAACAGAAGACAACAGGTTGTTAATGGTCATATAATTTCTGAGGATTTTTAAAAAAGACTTTTTAGTTTTCTTCTCTCTGCATATTTTGCTTCCCCCAAGTTTTTTCTATTAATTTGTTTTGGTCTTTATCTTTCACATTAGAGGCTTTTCTATTATGTCTGGTAATCCTTGGCTGTCTGCCATTTATTAATAGCAAAAGGGCTACACACTGATTGAAAGGGTTGAGATCATGATGTGGGCCTTCTCTACCTAAAGCTTCAGTGTTTAGATGGATTATTAGTTGGTAAACCTCTAAATGTCAATATTTTTCTCTTTTTCATCCTGTGCTAGTCATAGTCTCCAGAAAACAGGCTTTCAATCTCCTGCCTGGAGGGAAAGATCTGGCAGCCACGTTCTGGATGCTGTGTTGGAAGAGTTCTTGAATGTCTCTGCATTTGGCATTCAATCACTGAATTCCTGTTTTCACTGTTGCAGTCAAACTCTGAATTTGCATGGTATGTCCCAGCCCGCAACCCACTGTTCTACTATCTGTAAAACAAATAGTAGAGCAGTTTTGCCCCCCAGAGGACATTTGGCATATTTGGAGACATTTTTTATTGTCACATAAGGGGGTGTGTGGGACCAGGTGCTACTGGCATATTGTGGGTAGAGAACAAAAAGGCCGTTAAACATTCTACAGTGTTGTGTACAGAATAGCTCCCCACCACAAAAGAGTTACCTCATCCAAAATATCAGTAACGCCAGGGTTGAGAAATCTGGGAAATTTAGGAAATAAGTATCCAGTCTTTTGGTGAAGGTAGAAAAGGGCAGTTGCCCAGAGGTGTAAGGTAGAGGAAGAGATCTAGGACCTGTCTACTTCTCAAGAACGCTTAACCCAGTCTTCCTTATTTTAATGACCCTCTTCACCCAGTTCTAAAGGTAAACACTGTCACCAAGTTTGAAGATCATGGTGTAAATCAGTTTTTTCCTGCAGCTTTCTCTGTTGCTGGCTTAGGATTCAAAACTGCCTCTGTTCTGCTAAAGTCTATTAGCCAATCTATTTTCAAGCTCCCAAAATTTTCTTGCTCTTGTCTCTTCTCCTGTTTTCCCTATCAACAGTTCTTCTGTAGTTCTGTAAGGTTGTAAGAGGGAACAAAATTATATGTGTATACTCAATCTACCATATTAATCCAGAATCAAAGATCTCTGTTTCTTGACATGGAAATATGTCCATAGTATATTAAGAAAAAAGAAAGTAGGCTACAATGTACTTTGGAAAATATGATTCTATTCTTCAGCAACAACAAAAAACCCCAAAACCTTCTATAACTATTTCTAATCTCTGTGTACATAGAAAAAACTCTAGAAGATTAAGTACAAAATGGAAGACTGGTTATGTCTGCATGGTGGTATGACAACAGATTTTTACTTTCTCCTTTTTGTTTTTATATGTAGTCCAGAGATTTTTACAATAAGTGTATATTTCTTTTACAAACATATGTCAAAAAATTATCAAAACTGAAATAAGAATGAAGATGATTACATGTATTTTTAGTGTCATACTGGAACATTTTTTAACAGTCCCACTAGAAGAATTCTATAAGGAATTATGTCTTTGTTTGACATCTTAATTACTACTGATTAGGGCTCAAAGTCAATGAAGTTACATGTTATAATGTTATGTTTTTGTCCAGGGAAGATGTAAATTCTTTCTTTCTGATAGAAACTATAACTCCAAGATTATGGACTTATTACCTTATAAGACATTAACCAATTTTGTATCTAATCTAAAAATCATATTGCAACATTCTTTTTCTTCAGTTCTTATAAATAATTCTGTTTGATCAAATCCTGGTTTTACCATTTTGCTGGTCCTCTCATTAGTGAATTCCAAAAATCTTGACATGTTTTTATATTTGAATGGGAATTGTTTTTAACTTTTTAAAAATTCTAGTTTGACACAAATGAAATCATAAAGCCATTTCCCCTTTGAGGAAAGTGGAAAAAATGTAATGACTACCTCGGACATAGCAAATTAAGAGACAAATTAAGAGAAACAAACTCTGACCTCTGACTGCTACCCTGCCTAGGTTTCTTGTCTGTGTTTCAGCTGCACAGAACTGAGCTCTGACTCCTGGACATACCTTTGGACAGCCAGCAATGCTGAGAGATGTGAGGCGGACACAATAAATGGCCAGTGCTTTTATAATCTCATTTGATAGCTGGGGGCAGTAAGAGACATCCAGGTGTTCTAAGATCAGTGAGCCTTTGCAGAATGCCTGCAAGAAATTCCAAAGTCAAAGATTTTTTTCTTTTTTTCTCTTAGTCTTTATTCATCTAGAGCCATCTTACCCACAGCAGCTTACTTAGTATGCATGTCAGTCCTTGAAGTATAGATGTGTTACATCTTGTTGGAAAAAAAAAAAAAAGGAGACGAAGAAAAAGCTATTACATCCATTAAAAAAAAAAGATATTCACACACCAGCTTAACAGCTTAGTAGTATACAAATTCCTGTTAACAGACTTTAGTTTTCCTGACGTTAGTACTGAGATTTTACACATATGGTTAGTAATTATTAGAGTTATACTCAGCCAAATGAGTGGAAGGAAAAAGAATCTGGAGGGAGAATTAGATGAGAGACCCTGTGGGGTTGACAGTGTAATGTAATGGGAAGATCATGGTCTTTGGAATCAGGCAGACCTGAGTTTTAATTTCATTTCCACCACTTATTAGCTCTGAAACCTTAGCAACTCCATCTTTCTGAGCCTTAGTCTCTTCTTTTTTAAATCAGGGAAAATAATATCTACTCTCCAGTATTGTTCTGAAGTATCAAAATCTTCGCCTGAAATTTCTAGGGCTAGCAAAGGCCTGGGGAAATCATTGGAAATTCTTCCTTTTGCCTTTGTAGTTATTAATTTTCATTCCCATTTTTCAGTTAAACCATAAGAACTGAGTGATAAGAAGAATCCATGAAGAAAAAGTTTATAACCAAGCAGTTATACGAAAACAAAATGATCCACAAAAATAAACCTAATTGCAGTTGTAAAAATATTCTAAGAAGAATAGGAATTAGAAACTATGGCCAATTCCAGATATACTAATATTGTACTTAACAAAAGTCCCTCCCCCAAATTATAAAAAATAGAAATTATCAACATGTGCTCAGTCACTAGAGAGGTTTATTGGAAAACAGCTCAAATTTTTGGAGTACTTAATTAGAGACCTCAGTAAATGATAGTCTACCATTAGTATTAAATTTTAGTAACTAGTGCCTTACTAGTAAGGCATTGCTTATTTATATGTAAAAATGGATGTCCATTGGACTACATGTCACTTTCCTTTCAGAGCTGAGGGAAGGACCTGGGCTGTTGGATCAGTTGATGCTATCAGGATGACTCCAGTGGTAAGACCACTGGTGGCCTTCCCTCCCACTTGACTATGCCACTTTCCCATCATTTTAGCCCTAAGGAAGACTGGAAAGAACTAGTCAGCCCACTATTTTCTTTAGCAAGTTAATAAAAGAGGCAAATTTTCCATGAGAGGCAGTTTAGCATAGGAGATAAAAAAAAAATAGTACTAAAAGATATTAGTGATTTAATCCTCAATCCTGATCTTTTCCTGACCAGAATACCAACAATGATTCCTCTTTCCTCTCACCTCATGTAGAACTTGTCTTCTTCAATTAATTCAGTACTTGGTTTACTCCTGTATTGTATGAAGATCTGTCTTCTCTAGCAACTAAGTAATGTCAAAAATTGGAAGGGGCAGCTTGTCACGAGATAGTGAGGTCCCTGTCATTGGAGATAATCAAGCATAGAGAGCACACTTAGTTGTGGTGTGAGGGGAATCAGACTTTGAAGGATTGGAATGATTGGTCTTGAATCTCAGCTTAGAAATTCAACAGCTTTTTCAATGAGAATGCAGTAAATCTCTCAGAGGTATTCTGTGGAATTCTGCCAGCTTTTATATCCCCTTCACAAGTATCATATTTAGGATGCCATAGGTTCTCAATAAATACTAGTTGGTTGAGCTATCCTTTATAAGCATCTTCAAGAATATAAAGAATTCTCTTTTAATGATACAGGAATTCTTTTGTCATAAGGAGTAGGATAACATTGTTCTCTACTTAGAAAATGGACAGAAGTCAAGGAACCATAGAAAATTTGAGGAAGGAAGGAAGGAATATTTAAACTAAGAATGATTTATTAAAAGATGAAACAAACTTTAAAGGGAGATTCAAGGCACTTAGTGTCTGAAAACCCTTTCGATAACATCTGTCAATGTCTTGGACTGCATGAATCAGTTCTGCTTTAAGCCTTTAAAAAAACCTCTAATAGTCTTTGAAGTTGAACTTTCTCAGAGGTTTTAAAAGTAAAGAATAGCTTATAAATGTATTAGAATGTCTCTGATACATTCATGGAAGCGTTTTCATCCATGGAAAATCTGAGGCATAAAGACAGGTCTCAGGCTTTATGCTTGGCATAAGTCAGTGCAGATCCGAGAAGTCAGGCAGACTCTCTCCTCTCTTTGTAATTCACATTTTCCTTAAGAGACGTGTAAGTCATAAGCAACTTAAGTCTGCAGGAATGTTTCAACATAATCACTCATGCAATTCCGTTTCTCCCCTACCAATAAGATTATTTTATGCTTTTCTGGCTCCAGTAATACAGATTCATACATATATCAATGCTGTTGATTTTCTTTTCTTGGAAAATGTCAGGCTAAGCTTCTTCTAAGATGAAACCTTTTATACTGAAAATGGGAAGAAAATACAAAAATTATCAAGTTTAGCTTCCACCCCATACATCAACCAGTTTTGCTATGGGTTAACAATCTTGAAGAAAACTTCCAAATGTCTTAGTGAACTAAATCATTTCTTCTGTCCATTTTCAGAGCTGAGTCATAGTGTGGGAAGGCTTACTGACTACATTCCTAAACTGGGTATGTAGAGGAGACTGAGTTCCACTAACATTTATTGATTGTCACAATAATGTGTTTCTGCCAAAATCCCGATTTAAGTCACCTCAACAGGTGGCAGCTCTCAATCTCAAAAGAGCTCCCCCTCGTGGTGCATAGCCATCTTTGGACTATTTGCTTCATTAGGTTCTGATTAACTCTACTACTAAGTTTTGTGGGGTTTTTTTTTCCCCAATTGACAATCTAGGGAAAATCTTGTAATGTCAAGAATCGTTTTCTGTAATGAAGACTGTCTTTGACTGCTTCAAAAGCTAAAGTACAATGTCTACAATTTTAAGTTATAAAATGAATTCAAAACTTCAGTTTGTAGGGCCTCCTATATCCCATCAAACATAGCCTTGCTCTCACTTGGCATTAGAACGGGTGGGTGTAGATGTGGCCAGGACACACTGAGCTGGGAAATCTGGGCGTTGCCACCAAAACTAAATTCTACAGAGTCCAATGCTAGTGAGATGCCTCTCCTGCCCTCCCACCCTCCCTGCTAGGGAAATCAAGCTGAGCAAGGCTTAGCGAAGGCTAAGCATACTTCTTAGTATGCTTAGTAAATATGGAGGGGATTCTTAAAGGGCAAAGGCCAAAACCCAAAACAAGCATTTCTGAAGATACTTTCATGATGCAATTTGTTACTTTATTATATGGTGATTTGGGAGATAAGCTTTAGTTTCATCCAGTTCAAATGTGGCTAACTCCACAAACTTTTTCCCGGTTCCTTCCTCTGGAAGAAATGTCTCTTCCAAATACCTATAGCTTTTAACTTTATTATCTTTCTCACTTTCTACTTGTCTTATAGCTATTTACATAATTGTCTTATCTTCTGCATTGACTGCAGCTCCTTGAGAGCAGAATCCATGTCTAATTTACTCTTGTGGCCTCAACATCTAGAATGCAAAATAGGTTCAAGATGAGATTGTGTCAAAGGGAATGGAAAATGCTGCTTAGCACAGGAGTGAGGAAATGAGCTCCCATAGATTGCTCTTAGGACACTAAGTCCAGTCTTTCCTCACACCCTTTTTAATAATTGCAGTTGCAAAGGTGGTTAAGAGCACAGAGTCTGGGGTCCACCAGCCTGAGTTCATATCCTGCCACTTAGAAGTTTGTGTCTCTGCATGAAAAGATGCTCACCATCACTCAGCATCAGGGAAATACAAATCAAAATCACACTGAGATACCACCTCACGCTGATCAGAGTGGCTAAAATGAACAAATCAGGAGACTATAGATGCTGGCGAGGATGTGGAGAAATGGGCACCCTCCTGCACTCTTGGTGGGAATGTAAATGGTGCAGCCCCTCTGGAAAACAGTGTGGAGTCTCCTCAAAAAATTAACAATAGAACTCCCCTATGACCCAGCAATAGCACTGCTAGGAATTTACCCAAGGGATACAGGAGTGCTCATGCATAGGGGCACATGTACCCCAATATTCATAGCAGCACATTCAACAATAGCCAACCCATGGAAACAGACTAAATGTCCATCAACTGATGAATGGATAAAAATGTGGTTTATATACACAATGGAAACTACTTGGCAATTGCTATTTGCAGCAACATGGATGGAACTGGAGGGTATTATGCTAAGTGAAATAAGTCAGTCAGAGGAAGACAGATAGCATATGTTTGCACATATAGGTGGATCAGGAGAAATTTAACAGAGGACCATGGGGGAAGAGAAGGGGAAAAAATAGTTGGATAGAAGGAAGGAGGCAAACCATGAGAGACTCCTGAATACTGAGAACAAACTGAGGGCTAATGGGAGTGAGGGAGAGGGGAAGGGGGGTGATGGGCATGGAGGAGGGCACTTGTTGGGATGAGCACTGGGTGCTCATATATAGAAACCAACTTGACAATAAACTATGAAAGAAAAAAAAGAGAAGAAGTTTGTGTCTCTGGATAAATTACCCAACCTCTCAATTCCTCAATGATCTCATCCACAACAGGAGAATAACATGGTACCTTAATATGACACCTGCTTCATGGAGTTACAGGGAGGATTAGGTGAGTTAATATGAATACAGCAACTGAACAGCAGCTGGCATACAATAAGCAGCCAGTAAATAGCAGTCATAAAAAGAGGAATGTGGAAAAATTAAAGAACAGAAAGGGTAAGCACTCAAAGAGAATGCATATTGGAAAGAAGACCTGGAAAAGAACAACAAAAAAATACCTTTGAATTAGAATTTGTGGGGAGAAATTTCCAAAAAACATTTTCAGGTTTTAGACTTTATCTCCAAAATAAAAATAAGCCAGGATTGGACTACTCAAAGGTCTATCAGGCATTTCTCTTGTAGCCTGTAGGATAACC